TGTGGTATATATATGTAATGGAAAACAAAGGATATTCTGTTGTTTGTAACAACATGGATGAGCCTAGAGGACATAATGCAAAATACAATACAATAAGCCAGGCACAGAAATATAAATACCACATGGTTCTCACTTGTATGTGAAATCTAAAAAGTCAAATTCATAGAAGCAGAGAGTAGTAGAATGGTTACCAGGTGCTCAGGATTATGAGGGGATTAGGGAAACGTTGGTTAAAAGTACAAAATTTCAGTTAGGGGCCGGGCGCGGTGGCTCACGCCTGTAATTCCAGCACTTTGGGAGGCCGAGGCCGGTGGATCACAAGGTCAGGAGATGGAGACCATCCTGACTAACACAGTGAAATCCCGCCTCTACTAAAAATACAAAAAAATTAGCTGGGCATGGTGGCGGGCGCCTGTAATCCCAGCTACTCGGGAGGCTGAGGCAGGAAAATGGCATGAACCCAGGAGGCAGAGCTTGCAGTGAGCCCAGATTGCACCACTGCACTCCAGCCTGGGCAACAGGGCGAGACTCCATCTCAAAAAAAAAAAAAAAAATTTCTATTAGGAGGAATACATTCAAGATTTATTGCACAGCATGGTGACCGTAGTAAATAACAATGTATTGTATACTTGAAAATTTCTAAGAGATGGGCCAGGCGTGGTGGCTCATACCTGTAATCCTAGCACTTTGGAAGGCTGAGGTGGGTGGATCATTTGAGGTCATGAGTTCGAGACCTGCCTGGCCAACATAGTGAAACCCTGTCTCTATTAAAAATGCAAAAATTAGCTGGGCATGGTGGCACTGCCTGTAATCCCAGCTACTTGGGAGGCTGAGGCAAGAGCATCACTTGAACCTGGGATGTGGAGGCTGCAGTGAGCCAAGATAGCACCACAGCACTCTAGCCTGGGTGACCAAGTGAGACTCTGTCTCAAAAAATAGAAAAATAAATTCTTAAGAGAGTAGTGGATTTTAAGTGTTCTCATCACAAAATAAATGATAAATATGTGAGGTCATACATATGTCAATTAGCTTGATTTTTTTTTTTTTTTTTTTTTTTTTTTAAGAAATGGGGTCTTACCGTGTTTCCCAGGCTGGTCTCAAACTCCTGGGATGGAGCCAATCCTCCTGCCTTGGTCTCCCAAAGTGCTGAGATTACAGGTGTGAGCCACCACGCTTGACCTAATTAGCTTGATTTAGTCATTCCACAATGTATACATATTTTAAAACATCATGCTATACACCATATATATACAATAATAAAAAGAGAGTTTGCAAAAATATTTTATCTACATCATGTTATAGTACAGGACTTCCAGAATTTTTCTATTGCAATCATGGGTGAATTTATAAGAGTCTTATTTTTTTGAGACAGAGTCTTGCTCTGTCACCCAGGCTGGAGTACAGTGGCATAGTCTTGGCTCACTGCAGCCTCTGCCTTCCAGGTTCAAGCGATTCTCCTGCCTCACCCTCCCGAGTATCTGGGATTACAGGCGTGCGCTACCACATCCAGCTAATTTTTGTATTTTTAGTAGAGACAGGGTTTCACCATGTTGGCCAGGCTAGTCTTGAACTACTAACCTCAAGTGATCCACCTGCCTCGGCCTCCCAAAGTGCTGGGATTACAGGCATGAGCCACTGCACCTACCCTTATAATAGTCTTTTGCCATTAAGGGTAACATGCTACTTATTTAAAACTTTATTTTGTTAACAATGGAATGAGCATCAAAAAAACGGAAAACTAAGTGAAGTGTCTCATATTCCATTCTTCTAAGTGCTAATTTCTGGATTTATGTGTTTAAAACTTCTTTAGTGTAAAACATGGTGAAACTAGCTCTCACTTACGGGGTCTGCCTTGTACCAGAATGTCATATATCGTCTCACCAGTCTGCTAATTAATATCTCCGTTTCACAGATGATATGGCTGGGGGTCAGAGAAACTGAGTAGCTTGGCCAAAGTCATGCCTGTTCTAGGTGGAGAAGCAGGATTCTAACCTGGGGCTGTCTGGAGAGAAAGTCTTGTGATTTCTCAAAATAGGCCAAATTAGCTTTGACATAATGAGTTATAGATTAGCAATAACATGAGTTATTACTGCTGGGCTGATAAAGTAAGAAAGGGCTGTCATCTTACGTACTAAATATGTTCACACCTTTTAAGCAACCTCGTTGATAGTGTGTATCTTTTAGGTGTCTATTTTTCTGTCTTTGGGAATTTCATTGAAAACCACTTTCCCACTGTTTTCCTTAGCCTCCTTCAGTAGCAGTTTTTATTGGGGAAACATCCCAGATATGATTTGACTGTGTTCCCATCCAAATCTCACCTTGCATTATATCTCCCACATTCCCATGTGTTGTAGGAGGGACCTGGTGGGAAGTAGTTGAATCATGGGGGTGGGCCTTTCCCATGCTGTTCTCATGATAGTGAATAAGTCTCTCGTGATCTGATGGTTTTATAAAGGGGAGTTTCCCTGCACATGCTGTCTTCTCTTGTCTGCCGCCATGTGAGATGTGCCTTTCACCTTTTGCCATGATTGGGAGACCTCCCAGCCACGTGGAACTGTGAGTCCATTAAACCTCTTTCTTTTGTAAATTGCCCAGACATATCCAATTGCCATGCCAGTTGGGTATGTCTTTATCAGCAGCTTGAAGATGGACTAATACAGTCCCTTTGTGGCAATAGGGTGTATCAGTTTCCCACTGCTGTTGTAATAATTTACCACAAACCCAGCGGCTTCAGACAACACCAGTTCATCACCTGACCTCCAGTTCTGGAGAAGAATTGCTCCAGAGATATCCACATCCTACTTCCCAGGACCCCTGAGGCTGTGACAGGGGAACCTGTTCTGGAGGTTGGAAAGCTGAAGTGGGTCTCCCAGGCTGAAATTCAGGTGTCAGCAACTGTGCTCCTTCCTGGAGGCTCTTGGGGAGAATCTGTTTTCTTGTCTTTTCCAGCCTCGAGGGGCATCCACGTGTCTTGGCTCATCGCCCTTCCTCCATCTCCAGAGCCATTGGACTGGTGAGGTCTTCCTCACTCTGAACTTGACTCTCTGGCCTCCCTCTTCCACTTGTAATGACCCCTGTGGTTAGGCTGAGCCCGCCTGGATAGTCTACCGTAATGCCCCTCCCCTGTCCCAGCCTCATGGGTCCTGGGAATTAGGATGTGGACATCTCTGGGAGCAATTATTCTCCCCACCACAGATTCATGTCCTTCCCATATGAGAAAAATCTTCACTCTGTCCCAACATCTCCCAAAGCCTAAACGCATCATCCACGGTGAACCATCTCTACTGGGTGGGCATTTCTATGTCTCTCTGTATTTTTGGAAAAGTTCTTACAGGTCTACAGTAAGAAATTCAAACAATATAAAATGTTACAGACTGAAAAGTAAGTCTCACTCCTAACCCAGATTTTTTTTTTTTTTTTTTTTTTTTTTGAGGCAGAGTCTCCCTCTATCACCCAGGCTGCAGTGCAGTGGCGTGATCTCAGCTCACTCCAACTTCTACCTCTTGCGTTCAAGTGATTCTCATGCCTCAGCCTTCGGAGTAGGTGGGATTACAGGTGTGCACCACCACACCTGGCTAATTTTTGTATTTTTACAAAAAGAGAGACAGAGTTTTGCCATGTTGCCCAGGCTGGTCTCAAACACCTGGCCTCAGGTGATCCGCCCACCTTGACCTTCCAAAGTGCTGGGATTACAGGCGTGAGCCAGCACGCCTGGTCCATCCCAGATCTGTAGCCTTCCAGGTCTCTTTTCCAGAGGTGACAACAGTTATTATTTTGTGTACTGTCACGTCAGATGTTCTGTGCATATAGAAATGTGTATTTATGGCTTTTGTTTTTGTGCAAGCATCTTTTGTCCACCAATATGTGTTTTTCTTTTTGCCAGTCTTTCTGTGTGAGTACACACACACACACAGCTCCAAAAAAAAAGAGTTTGTCTTCACCAATGCACAAGTAAGTTGCTTCTCAAATTGTGCTACTTTTAGCAGCCTTGCTGGAGCTGTACGTGTTATTGTTGGGCTTGATATCTGGAGGCTGAATTCATAGCAGTGGAATTCTAGGGTGAGAGAGACCTAGATAGAGAGAAAGAAGATGGGATCTGCTAATTTACATGACAAAAACAATTCAAAGGCCAGTGAAAGGAAAGATCAGTATCTTCTCCTTTAAATAGCTTGTTTGAGAAATCTAACCAGGTGAACTCCAGTTAGATCTGGTCTATGGGGTAATTTGTAGGCCATAGTCTCTTTAAAATTTTTAGTTGAACTTTGGGAGTCCTTTTGGGGAGTCGCTTATGATGTGCTCATCAAAAGCCCTAATGCCCTGTCCTGCCTGTCTGCGGTTATGAAATGTTCATCGAGGAAGCCGGGAGTGGACTCACCCACTGCCTCCCATCCGCACAGGACCCGTCACTCAAAATACACATACTCCCTTTGCAAATTCTTTCCCACTTTATGCGCTCAGCACCTTGTGTTATTTTGGCCCTCATCCTAGTTGTGCCTGTCGTAATTTATCATCCCTGCTGTACTGAGCAGTTCTTGAGGATATCATCAAGGTTGTCTGTGCCTCTCTCTCCCCTGTTTTTGTCCCAAGCTAGCACGGTGCCTGTTGGTGTTGACGAACAATAGGACTCAGTTTGGAGAGCCCCCCCTTTTTTTTTTGGCATGAATTTTGATGATGCCAGATTAGCCCTTTTCCTAGGAATGATAAGCGTGGCTTTGATAGATGATGGCTAACAATATTTTTTATTTGCTAAAGTTTAAAATGAATGAATTGAAAGATAGCCCTGACGACAGTGGTCGGGGCCTCCCGTGATTCCTGTTGGTGTTGTGTTTATTGTAGTGATACCATTCTGCTATCCAGGAGAGGTGGATGCAGCTGAACACACAGCAACACACAGCTCCTGTGATCTGGGAACTTCAGTGTTTAAGATCCTTGCTTGGGAATGGTGGGTGAAGGCTGTTTCTAGGGCTGAATCCTGCTTTGTGACTGTCATCGTTTTGCAGGCCACCGAATCCCTTTTGGAATCATCTTTGGAGGAACTGATGTCAATGAAGATGCCAACCAGGGAGAAAAGAACACCGTCATGGGCAGAGTTCTTGAGGAAGCCAGGTAATACTTGTGAGAATTTCACCCATGCCAAGCATTTAAACTATGTGGATGGAAATCATTGAAACCAAAGACTGAGGGCACCAATTGTCGGGGAGGTTTACATCTTATCACTTAAAACCAATTTCATGTAACCTTTTCTTTAATTTGGTACATTTTTATTTTGCCACAAATCGTCATTGCTAACAGGTTATTGCACTTAAGTCTTCAACTACAATTAATATTAGATAAGCCTCTTTAGAATGGTCTGCATGGAGCCAGGCATAGTGAGGCACACCTGTGGTCCCAGCTGCTTGGGAGGCTGAGGCAGGAGGATCGCTTGATAGTGAGGCACGCCTTTGGTCCCAGCTGCCTGGGAGGCTGAGGCGGGAGGATTGCTGGAGCCCAGGAGCCCAAGGCTGCAGTGTGCTATGGCTGCACTCCAGCCTGGGTGGGAGAGCAAAGCCCTCTTCTCAAAAAAGAGGTGTTCTGAATATAGAAAACACAGATCACAGACAAGCTCCAGCCTTAGCAGCACACAAATTAGGGTCTAGTTTGCATCAGGTTTGCCCAAGTAGACTGTCTTTGGCATGGGTCTTATCTATGTGGCTTTCTGAGCTATAAATGCCATTTGCAAGAAGGGTCACCAACGGGATTTCTAAACTGTGGCTCAGGCCTTTTCCTTGGGTATGTCCCGCTAGCTGTCCTGGGAACCTGAGAGGTAGCTGCTATGAGAACAGCTCTGTGTGCTCTGAGTGGTGCTTCTCACAGGGGTCACCGTGATAATCCTTGCGGCTGCCCTGCACATCTCTGATCCCAGATACTAACCATGGGCAGCAGCCTCCACGTACCACAACTACCTAGTATGTCTGCCTGTAATTCTAATGCCCCCAGGGTGGGGGAGGTTATCCCCAGTTGAGAATTCCTTCCAGCGCTGTACTTCCCAACTTTATCCATGTCGATGTGGTAAAAGGAGGTTCATCGGAGGCCATTGTTCTGGACTGGCCCCCGCGCTGTGCCCCAGCAGACCAGCCCGTGACAGAAAGGAGTCACTTGTGCTGAGCGCTGTGTAGTAAACTGAACTTTGAAATGGGTCAGTCTTCTTTCTCTCTTCTTTCTTCTCTCTTCTATTCTCTTTTCCTGACAGTCTCATTCTGTTGCCCAGGCTGGAGTGCAGTGGCATGATCTTGGCTCACTGCAACCTCAACCACCAGGGTTCATGTGGTTCTCGTGCCTCAGGTTCCCGAGTAACTGGTATTACAGGCGGCCGCCTCCACACTCGGCTAATTTTTGTATTTTTAGTAGAGACAGGGTTTCACCATTTGGCCAGGCTGGTCTCAAACTCCTGGCCTCAAGTGATCCACCTGCCTCGGCCTCCCAAAGTGCTGGGACTACAGGCATGAGCCACCGTGCCCAGCCTGAAATGGGCTAGTTTTCTAAAAAGCAAGAAATTCCAGCCAACTTCAGTCAGCAGAGTAGGGACGTCTTCTCTGCTTTAACCCTGTGGGGCAAGTAACTCTGAAATGCCCCATCTGCTTTTTGTTTTCTGTGTCTGCTTTCTTCAGCCCTTGTCTGTCTGTAAAACACGCCTCCTCTGCTCAGCTCATCAGAACACTCATTCTGTTTTGTAAAATGAGGTGCTGCCCAATTCTAGAACTGCTAATAAAAGCCCATTCTAATCTTTGAACTAAATTTGTTATCATTGTGTCTTTTGACAAGGCAGACTTAGAAAATTATCATATTTGTATAGCAATTTCAGGTGGATTGAAAGGCTTGATTAAAAAAGTCACTCCCATTTCTTTGTCTAACTAATGCAATAAGAAGAATTAAAATAATGATAAAAGCAGGCCGGGCGCGGTGGCTCAGGCCTATAATCCCAGCACTTTGGGAGGCCGAGGCAGGCAGATCACTTGAGGTCAGGAGTTCGAGACCAGCCTGGCCAACATGGTGAAACCCCCATCTCTATTAAAACTATAAAAATTAGCCAGGCATGGTGGTGGGTGCCTGTAATTCCGGCTACTTGGGAGGCTGAGGCAGGAGAATCACTTTAACCCAGCAGGTGGCCAGGTGTGGTGACTCACGCCTGTAATCCCTGCACTTTGGGAGGCCGAGGCAGGTGGATCACTTGAGGTCAGGAGTTCGAGACCAGCCGATCACTTGAGGTCAGGAGTTCGAGACCAGCCTGGCCAACATGGTGAAACCCCCATCTCTATTAAAACTACAAAAATTAGCCAGGCATGATGGTGGGTGCCTGTAATTCCAGCTACTTGGGAGGCTGAGGCAGGAGAATCACTTTAACCAGCAGGTGGCCAGGTGTGGTGACTCACGCCTGTAATCCCAGCACTTTGAGAGACTGAGGCAGGTGGATCACCTGAGGTCAGGAGTTCGAGACCAGCCTGGCCAACATGGTAAAACCCCATCTCTACTAAAAATACAAAAATTAGCTGGGCGTGGTGGCCTGCACCTGTAATTCCAGCTACTCGGGAGGCAGAGGCAGGAGAATTGCTTGAACTCAGGAGGCAGAGGTTACAGTGAGCCGAGATCGTGCCATTGCACTCCAGCCTGGGGGACAGAGCGTGACTCCACCTCAAAAACAAACAACAACAACAACAAAAAAACCCGGGAGGTGGTGGTCACAGTGAGCCAAGATCTTGTCATTGCACTCTAGCCTGGGTTACAGAGCAAGACTGTCTCAAAATAATAATAATAATAATAAATTAATTTAAAAAATAAAATACAATAAAATAATGATAAAAGCAATATGAATCTTCCGTGATCATATGAAAATTGTGAAAAAAAGCAGAAATTAAATCAAAAGAACTAACTGTACATGCATACCCCAAAGAAAGAACTAACTGTACATGCATACCCCAAAGAAAGAACTTTTCTGATGAGTCATGAGGTGCTCATTGGGCCTCCTCGGTGTTTCCCCAGACAGTTGAGGGGCTTCTGTGCAGTTTGTCCTCCCACATGTTCACTGGCTGCTCATGTTAGAAGAAAGCTTCACCTGTGTCTAGAACAATAACCCTGAATTCACAGCTTACAGATGGCCCAACAAGTACTGCCTAACTATCCCTTCAACCTTTTAAAATCTTTGAATCATTGTAAAAAACAAAACAAAGTAAAACTGATCATTGATTTTCACCCAATCAATCACCAGCCATCAGTTTTCTGTGGCTCACCTCATGGCTGGGAAGCTCTGGCCAGGGAATTTGGGACACTTCAAGTCTTCATGTAGCTGGATCACCCTATTCCATACCGGGGACAGCACTCAGAGTTCTGTCCGGAGCCTCAGATTCCTTGTTTGGTAATGTAGGTGTCAGTCTCGCTTCTGAAATCCAGGCTTACTGAGAGGCATCACCGCATTTAGGACCCTAGTCCTTCCTGAGGACCCCTGAACATATGTTGTGGCAATGCAAGTATGGACCCAAAAAACCCAAGACAGGTCTTAGTTACTGTTTAGAAAGTTGATTTTGCCAAGGTTGAATACACGCACCCAGCCTCAGGAGTCCTGATGACATGTGCTCAAGGTGGTCGGGGCACAGCTTGGTTTTATACATTTTAGGGAGACATGAGACATCAATCAATATATGTAGGAAGTACAGTGGTGCGTTCTGGAAAGGCGGGACAACTGGAAGCAAAGGCAGGAAGACTCAAAGCTGGGAGGGGTCTTCCAGGTCACAGGTAGGTGACAGACAAAAGGTTGCATTCTTTTGAGTTTCTGATTGGCCTTTCCCAAGGAGGCTAGATACACATTTATCTCAGTGAGCGGAGGGTGACTTTGAATAGAATGGGAGGGAGGTTTGCCCTTAGCAGTTCCCAGCTTGACTTTTCCCTTTAGCTTAGTGATCTGGGGTCCCAAGATATTTTCCTTTCACACCACCTGATCATAATAGAGAGCACACACATGTGCCTGTGTGTGTGTGTTACAATAAGAAAAGGCATTAAAACACGTTGGGGTTACCTTGGGGATCTTTTATTACAGGTTTTCTTATTGCTGTTCTTACACTCTGCAAATTCATTACATTTAGATTCCTGTAGTTGATAACACACTGCCTTATGGAAGGAAAATATTTCTGTTTACAAGAAACAACATTGAATGAATCCATCTTACAGTATTATCATTAGTATTATTCATTGCATTGTTATTAAAGCAAACACTGATTTCTATTTTGGGGGGTTATTGATCGAGGTGGGTGGGCAGGAAAGCGGCATGAATCACATTCCTTGTCCAATACAATATAGCACACCTTTCTGTAAAAGAAAGTATTGAACTTGTCTAGCTTTATAATAAGTATTTCATTTTTAATCAAATGATTTTAAATAGTTATATTTTTTCCTATAGGGTCTATTTTTGAAGTTTTTTAGTATTAAAATTTTTTTTTCTATATAATATAGTATTTGAACTTACTTTAGCTTCAGCTTTTTGGCTTATATGTATTATAATGTAATAAGTACTTAATAATTATCTTATCAATATCAAAACTAAATGAAGAGTATTTGAAACCTATGGAAATTGTTTGGTGAAGGATCATCCAGGTACATATTAGAAGAAAGTATTGTTGGCCAGGCGCGGTGGGTGGCTCACACCTGTAATCCCAGCACTTTGAGAGGCCAAGGTGGGTGGACCATTGCGGTCAGGAGTTTGAGACCAGCCTGGGCAACATGGGGAAACTCTGTCTTCACTAAAAATACAAAAATGGTGGCACATGCCTGTAATCCCAACTACTTAGGAGGCTGAGGCAGGAGAATCACTTGAACCTGGGGAGGCAGAGGTTGCAGTGAGCTGAGATCTCACCACTGCACTCCCGCCTGGGTGAAAGAGGGAGACTCTGTCTCAAAAAAAGAAAAAGAAAAAGAAAAGAAATAATTATTGTCAAGCAAATGAGCAAGAGAGTTTGTATAAAATGAAACACCTCAAAAATAGCCTCATAAATAGGAAATATATAGTACACGATAGGTTAAACAAGGTGAATTTGCTGTTTTGTATGCATAAAATGGCTGAATATTGGTAGTTTCATAAG